CGAATAGGTCCCACGCTTGCCTCCAGCTCTAGCTCACTTTTAATTTTAGTAGCAGGTGCGAAAGGATTATTTTTTGAAAACCTAACCACACGTTTAATTAATTTAGTAGTCATTGCGGGACGCCGTCCACGTGTTTCGGGTTGGGATTTGTATTTTAATGCGTTACAAACCATTGTCGGTGAACAGCCCACAATATCTTCAACTTCTTTGTAAGTTTTCCCTTTCGAGATTAGTTTTTTGATGAGGTTTCGCTGTTAAGCGGTGCAGTGCTTGCCTCGTACCAAAGCTGAAAAATTTTCAATCAGATTGTCACAAAATTATATGGAAATACATCAAAAAATGCAGTACTTACCTTCTTGTAAATTTTTGACAAAATAAATATTTTATATGAATTTTTTGGCAACTTATTCCTTGCACTACTATTATTTTGACTGACTCATTAGCCAACACATTTGAAAATAAATGAAATTACGACACCAACTGCTAATACAGTTATAACGGCACTTATTTTATTGAACTCTGTCTATACAACAGTATCTTAAGGAGAATAAAGCATAAAGAGGACAACGCGAAAAAATACAAATATTAAACTATGTGCGGTACTAGCACTACTATTACTTTGACCGAAACTGTATATCGAAATGTTAAACCAGTTTATTTAGCTTTAAAACGGCGTTAAGATGAAGTCTGTACGATGAGCAGAACCCGAGATATAACAATTTGAAAAAGTACTTGATTAGTCGGAATAACGAAAAAATCCAAATTCTGACAGATCCTACATTCATATATCCGAAGAAAAAAATGTAAAGCCAATCGAAATTCTAACACAAAATTTGGTGTTCGATATGAAAAAGAATGGGGGGTGAAATAACACCCAAATCTGAGTTTTTCTTTATTTCCAACATAGGTTGGAAATAAAACAAATTTTGCCTTATTTCCCATTGCTTATTTATACCATTTGTAAAAAAAAAAAACAGTTTACTGACAGAAGGAAAAATAACTTTGTTTATTCCAAAAATACAATTAAACCAAGGCACATTGAACAGGTAATATCAGTTCAGCAGCTGATTTGATTTTTTTCAAATTATTTGTTCTCGAAAATGTTAAATATTTTACAATTCTTCTCACAAAAATTCTAAATTGTTAAAGCCTATTTGCATGTGAAACATTTTCCATACAAAACCAGCGATTAAATAGCAGCTTTTGGAAAGCTCGCCCAACTCAGCAGCACAACCGCTGATTACTGGGTCTGGCACAGGATGATGGATCAATGCTTCGAGAAGCGAACCAATTTACTAAGAAAGAAAGTTGCAACAATTTTCATTTTTTCAATTTAAATTTTTTACCTTTTTCGTATTCGGTATGGCATGCTTCGATGTAGAAGAAAAAAAGCAGAACAGTTTTTGGCACCTTCGATTCCAGAAGCAACAACAAAATACAGGCAAATGTTGTTTTTGCTCAAATGCTCTAAACCTGTTTGATAGGCCTTGAATTAAACAAAAAATGTGATATAATTCATATGAAGAAAGTAATATTCACAAAATATTTTTACTTATGGAAAGTCTAACCAAATATAGGAAAAGCATCGTCTTTAAAAACTGCCCCGCATATTTGGACATAGCGCTTTTGTATGAATTTTTTCTGCTTGCTTTTTAATATGTTAAAAACATTGCTGGGAAACCTTAAAATGTTTGCATGGAACCATGTCGCAATAAACAGATGAATTAATAAAACGGCTTTCTCGCTTTATTTTCTGACATTCGGCTGCCTTATAGTCACATTTTATAGGCAAATTTTCAAATAAAGCAGTGGCATCTGGTAAATTCCACTCTGGGTGGGATGCATGCAATAACACCATACACAATAATTCCCATTACTTGGACATTAAAAAGCAGTTTCAGAAGTGAACTAGTGTTATTTTATCAGTTTTCCTTTTTCTAAACTGTTATAATGCCACCAGTACATAATTGCGAAAGGAGAGGAGGGGCGGGAGACGCGAGCGCGACGTCGAACGCGGCGCAGGGCGGCGCGCGAACGCGGACCGCCGCGACGCCGGGCACTTCCAAAATTGTATACTTACAAATCCGTACATTTAACTTGTTCATGTACTACTTTTTGTCAAATGTAACTGGGTGACTACCTACATATGTGCACTATTTTGCTTTATTACTCAAATTGTTAAGTATAAAAGTTGGTCTTATTGCTCAACGAGAAATAAAGCAAATTTGTGTTATTTCACATTCAATTGGAAAATAACACAAATTTGCGTTATTGCCGTTTGTGTGATTAGGATTACCACCCATCTAAAAGTAAAGACTGAAAATATTGAAATTAAATGAAACATTACATAAATGGTTCCAAACGAAAAGTGTTTGGGAAAGCTTTACTAGGGAATTTTTTTTTAATCTTTCCACTTATCTAAAATCCGAACAGTTTAAATAAATTTAGAATTTGCAACATCTTATCAAACGAAGTGATCATATTATCAACGAAGAGCTGGTACACAAATTACTTAATGCAAAAAATTAATAAACAAGTAATTTTTAAGCAAAAAACCGTTCCGTTAATGATAGGATCTAAACCAAATTAGTATGGGATCACCTGGAAATCGGTTGACGTGGTCCAAAGTTATGCGGTAACATACATAAAAAAAAATCCGACGAATTGATAACCTTCTTCTTTTTTTTTAAGTCGGCTAAAAACTACTGAAACAAATAACCATATGATAAAAGTGTAACGAAAACAAAATACTAGTATTGTAAAAATTTAAACTCATTGTTTTGTAACTTAAAAAAAACGGAAGGAGAACTGATCGAAATAATGTTTCTTTATTAAGACAATTAATTATAGGAATCACGATTGGCTCAGTAAACGGGCTATTTTTTTCGCGAAGAATAAGGATATCTATCAATATGGTATTGACAACAGTCGTTGCTTGAGCTGATCTGCTCTTTTACCAGACTGACAGGCCAGGGAGACCCCATATACTGAAATTGAAAATAGGTGTGCCAATTATCATGTTGCGGAATATTAATCAGCCAAAACTTTGCAACGGCACGCTACTCGCATTTAAGAAATTGATGAAGAAAGTAGTGTAAGTAAAGATTTTAACGTGGCCTTTCAAAGGCGAAGAATTCCCATGATTCCGACCGATACACCATTTCAATTTAAAAGATTGCAATTCCCAATTCGATTGGCATTCGGAATCATAATCAATAATGCTCCAGGTCGAACTTTGGAAAAGTATCGTTTAGATTTAGGTACGGATTGCTTCTCAGATGTTGCGTGTTCCTGCGTCGGCAAACCAGATGTCCTTGATATTTATGCAGCGAATGGAAAAACGACAAATATTGTGTGCACACAAGTACTAATTACATAACCAAACACATAAAAAACGTATGCTTTGCTTCGTTAATAATTTATCATCCATATAACAGGAATATGCCACAGCAAAGCGTGGCAGGGTACAGCTAGTAAAATTAATAAAATAAAATAAGTTAAGCTTTCGTTAAAGTTAAGTTAGTTAGTTAAAAGCCAAATAGTGAAAGGAGTACTCAAACTCTAATGAAAATTACTAGCAATTTGTACTGATTTACTTCGATTTTAAATATGCTTGTCGGCGAATATGTTTACATGCAGATATGTAAATGCGGGTTCGCTTCTCGCGCGACAAACTTTTTCAAAAACGAAGCAAATCAGTACAAATTGTTAGTAATTTTCGTTAGAGTTTGAGTAACTCCTTTCACTATTTGGCTTTCGGTAACTTTAACGAAAGCTTAACTTATTTTATATTATTAATTTTATTGCAGTTTTTACAAAATTTTCTTACTAAAAAATCTTTTGTTACACTACTTTATTTTATTCTTTTGTTTGTATATGTTAAATAAAAGTTAATTTTAAAAAAATATTTTTTTGTACATTATTTTATTTATGTTTTGATTGTCATCATACGCATGGTACAAATATTTATAAGGTACAATCGCTGAGAGCCAACTTTAAGAATTTTGACGTTTGCTAGCATTTTGAAAATTTCTCTCGCCGTCATTTCGCATTTGTTTGTTTTTATTTTCAAAAAAACCAAAGAAATATATTTCTGTCGAAACAACAAAATTTGAATATACATACATATGTAAATAAATGAACGGAAGCAATTGTCTGTAATGGACTTCTGCCCGTATGTTAAGGCGAAGCTTTTGGCATGCATTTGAAGATATTTTACCTTAAGGGCACTGCACTTTTGCAAAGAACTATCTTGTGCTTACATTGGGTCAGGTAGTGTGGCCAAAAATGAGTCGAGCATACATAGGGGCACTTTGGCAAATCCGTTTTCATAACACCACAAATCTCGATCCATTTTTGCTGTATATACGATAGTTGCGGGAACTTGAGGATCTTTAGATTGCTTTGCTTGCAGAGGAAAAGGAATTTGGGCAGCCGTTAAAGCAGCAACTAATTTTTCGTTTCGAATTGTTTTAGTTTTCTCAACTTCTGAATAAATGAATAATTCAAATCATAAATTTTCATTTGTTTATTTTGAATTTCTTTGACATTAGAAGCATTTCGAGAGAGAAAACTCAAAATGCTAGCAAACATCAAAAAAAAACACAATGGCGGACGAATTGAGCGAGAAGAAAAAATGTGTGAGCTTTTTTGATTTATAGAATCCCTAAACCACATTTTGAGCAAAGTGGAGGTGTTAAGGCGGATTCATCGTTCTAGTTCTGTACTTTTTCTTCATGGAAGAAAACTTCTGAAAGAAAACGATGGATCCTGCTTTAAACTGATACCAGATAAAACGCCTGCTTCGCTTTGACAGATAAGATGAAATGTGTGAACATGCACGTTTTTCTCTTTGCTGGAAAATTATAAATATCGCGCAAAGCCACAAAGATTTATCTGGCATCAGCTTTACTCAAATCTTTGCTTCGGTGCTAAAAAAGAATGCTAGTACATATTATTGGCAAATATACGTAAATTTTTTTAATTAAGGTAAGACTTACCCTATAATTCACAGTGATATTAACGGATTTAGTAACTTCGCTCTGTGCAAGGAGTCCTCGAATGAGCATTTGCAACTTGCGAGTCTCAAATGAAAAGTCCATATCATTCTGTACTATGCCGCTTTTCACATATGTTCGAACTGTACCAACAGCTCCGGTTATATTAACACCATTTATGGCAAGTAACATTTTTGGTTTATATACCAACACATTTCGTTCTTCCTTTCGCTTAAGTTCTATGCTAAAGTCGAGGCTTCGGTTTCCATTCGTGTCCAGTAAGAAATTAAACCGTCTGTAAATATTAGTTCCGATAAGTTGGCACATGGAAGAAACCTTACTGAGTCCATGAACGAATAAAAGGGAAGCATTTAAGATTTCAGGTTGAGTACTGACATTAGCAGTAATCGAACGTTCAAATGAAGATCCAGGCGTAAAGAAAAGAACAGCCCAGTTCGAGCCGTTACGATGTTGATCATATGTGTACTGAAACATCCAGTTTTTGGCTGTCAGGTCAGATTTTGCTAATGATACGCTGAAATTCATTGGACCACTCAGCAATAAGCCTGGATAAGTAATTTTTTTAGCATTATTTAAATTTGGAACACTGTAATCGAGGCACACTTTCAGCGCGGTAGCTGTTTCAAACAATGGCCATGTGCAGCTAGAATTCGATCTACGGCTTTTAATACCAGTTTGATATTCGTCGGCGCTCCGCGAAATTTTCAGCAATTCTGAGTGAACAGTAAAAATATCAGTAGCATTTTGGGGCAAACTTAATGAAAATGTAACCGACTTCTTCCCGCGAACTTTTAGTTCGCCTGCAACCTCGAAGTTCGTATACATAGTAGACTTCACTTTAACTCCAGACTGTGCATAGAACATATCAGAACTCATGCTTCCTACCATATCAACCAATATTGTAGGTTTAATCATACCTTTGATATCAAAATTCAAATCGGAAGAATCGGGATTTTTATAATCCAACTTGCATGATGTACGCAGATCAATAGATGATGCGCCGAATAAATCTATTGACAAAGGTAACCCTACTGCAAGAGGAATAACGTATGAAGCATCGAGGAACAGCTTTGATTTTGTGTATATTATTTCCTTTCCTGATAGAAATTCCGATAGTTGTTGTAAAACATCTAACTTCTTTGACAGTTCTGCATATTCGGGAATTCCATTTAAAGAGAAAAAATGTAAATCACTTCCAAAAATACGTGTTCCAAATTGAAACACTGGATTATTGTAGTCATATTTAAGTGTGTAACCTAAATGCTCAATGCTTTTGTGAAATAATGTTTTACGATCATTTACGTCTTTTATTGATATTGAATCATTCGAACTATATATTTTATATCCACAATTATCATGACCCATGGTATGATTCTCAAATGGCTTTCGTTTGAGAGCGGTTTTAGGATTGCATTGACTTCCAGTGTTGGTCGAACTTTTTGAAGCAGCTGTAAATCGTTTGTTTAGTAAACATTAATTTGTTTAATATATATGTATATAGTATATTAATCTCACCATCATTTTCTGTATTGTTTTTACTAAGCCAGTTGTAGATAATGTCAATTAAGGGATTTATTCCTCTCTTGCTAAATAAGCTGTACTGATTGAAAAATTTTTCAGGCTTAAAATTGGCAATGAATAATTGCTCAAAGCCCTCAGCTCTTGCTGTAATTTCAAATATGTTAACCGAATGTCCGAAAAGGTAAGTGGTTAAGTTCAGCGTCGCCATCCGTGGTAGATATGACTCAGTACCAAAAATTATATTCATGTCTGTGGTGGTGCCTTTAAATGAAATAGTTTCTTTTTATTTGTTTTTGTTATTTAATGGCCTTATAACAATTATATTAAACAATTTTTAATGAGATTGAGGCCGTTTTTAATGAAAAACTTATTGTGGAAAAGCAACAATAATGTGAAAAAATGGTAGAAGTGATAGTTATTTCGGAAATCACCACATTTCCTCATAAGACTTCTTTCAGTAGGATTCAAACCGACGATCCCACTGACTCAGCCAGTTGCCTACGCACTGTGCTAAGTTCGCCTTGTAAATTATTCTTGCTTTTTTCCACTCTTTCATTTGGTAAGCCAACCCAATCAAGCGCAGCTATTCCGCTGCAATTCACTTGATCATGTGGTTGTTGGTTTTTGCTAATAATTCTATTTTTAGAATGTTTAACTTTTAGGTGTGCTCGTCCTTAAG